TAGGAATACATAATGATCACATTCATCACAGGGGATTTGTACCTGTACATGATATATCTTGATTCTTATTTCATCGTGCCTGGTCCTTCCTATTGTCTCATTGCTTACTTTTTGACACTTTAAAACAATTCTTTAGATATTTAATATGTTATTATCCTATATTTGACAGTTCTATTGTTTGAAGTCCTTGGAAGTGGTTTCTGCTGCTTCTCACCTGTGGTTTATTAATCATGGGTATAAAGCTCCTATTCAGTGGGTATGAGCTGAGGTTGTTTTCCACTAGAAGGAACTTGAATTTGCTTCTACCAGGAGCCAAGGAGAGCTGTTTGTTTACTTGTGTGTTCCCATTTATTTTCTGCCCTGTTGACTTCCTTTACCTCCTGAGATACAACAATGCTTTAAAAAGTATGTCTTTTGTGCAAGACCTAGTTGTTTTGTAGCAGGAAGACCCTACAGGAAGTGGAAGCCCTAATGAATTCTCTGGTGGGGAGAAGTTTTTCTGTTGGTTAAAATTATATTTTCAAGGGTAGGCTCCACATAGGATGGGAACTAGAGAAATAAGATAGGTTTCAGGCCCAATAAATAAAATCAATAATAAACAGGGGCTGACTATGCCCCCCACGGGTGGTTGGCGGTGGCGGTGGCGGTGGTGTTCTCATCACTTGGCTCATCCCAAGTTCCATTTGTGATTGTTCATTTCTGAACAGAAAAAGAAAATGAAGCCAAAGCAGTTTTGAATAACTATTAGAGATCAAATTGAGCCAAGAAAGACTATCTGGAATTGTTACCGAAATCTATGGGGTAAACAGTATTTTACAGAACAAAATCCCCTTGCACCCTTTCCATGAAAGATAATTGGATCAAAAAATAAAAAGTTATAAGGTTTGTTTAATCCAAGTATGTTTTTCTGATCAGGTGCTTTTTCATTTTCTCCAACAATTATTATTTTATTTGTTTTTTAATTAATTTAGTTTATTGGTACATTTTAGGTATACAGTACAATTACTTTCATTATTGGGATCTTGTACCTTCACATGACAGGTCTTGGTTCTCATTTTTTTCCCCTTGTCCCTGCCCTCCCTTCACCCCCTCCTCCCCTCCCCATTTACAAACACTTTATTTGCATTTTTTCATTTTGTCATATTTTTTCTTTTCCCTTATTACCTTTCCCCTACCCTTCACATTTTCCCTACACCTTTAGCCCTTTTCTTCCTATTTCACATGGTCAATTATATCATTAGGATCTTATGTACCATTATAGTTTTTCACACCAGAGGAACTGCTCGGTATTTAAACATGTGTGACTTATTTATTTCACTTAATGGTATATCGTCAATATGTATCTGTTTTCCTATGAATGAATCTAATTCCTCATTCTTTATGGCTGAGTAGTATTCCATTTTATAGAAAAACCACATCTTCTCTATCCAGTCTCCAACTGATGGGCAAATGGGCTGTTCCCAAGTTTTAGCTATTACAAACTGTGCTGCTATAAACATTGGTGTGCATATATCACTGTGATATGATTCTTTTAATTCTTTTGGAAAGATACCCAGCAGAGGGATGGCTGGGTCAAATGGAATCTCTAGCCCCAGCTCTTTGAGGTATCTCCACGTTGATTTCCATAGTGGTTGCACCAGTCTGCACTCCCACCAACAATGGAGAAGGGTTCCTTTCTCCCCACAACCCCGCCAACATTTGTTACTGGTTGATTTCTTGATAGCAGCCATTCTTTGTGGGGTGAGGTGGAATCTCTGTTGTTTTCATCTGCATCTCTCGAAATGACCAGTGATGTGGAGCATTTTTTCATATATATACTTGCTGCTTTTACTTCTTTGTCTGAGAAACGTCTGTTCATTTCAGATGCCCATTTATGAATTGGGTCCAACAATTATTTTTATCTTTCTCATTCCTTTCCAACCTCAAAGCCCAACCTCCTTCCCTTTCATTCCCAGCGAATGGCAACGCTTATGTCATCAAAGCTAAAACCCTCATTGGCACTTCTCCTTTTCTCCTTTCCTCCTAAGTGTTCAGGGACAAACTCTCCCAGTTGTACCCTAAGCCTCCTGCTCTTCCTCAGCTTTTCCCATACCCAGCAGGATTTGGTTCATCATATTCATCCTTTGTATGGCTTGAGTATAATATGTTCCCCCAAAGGCTCGCTGTATTGAAGACTTGGCTGCTGATGGACTCCTGGGAAGTGACTGGATCATGAAGACTCTGACTTCATCAGTGGATAAACCTATGGATGAGATCATCACTTGATGGCATTACGGAGGCAATGGAAACAGGTGGGATCTGGTTGAAGCAAGCACGTCCTGGTGGTGTGACTGTGGGACTATCCCTAGTCCCTGTCCCCTTCGTGTTGCCTCTCTCACCCTCTCTCTCTTCTTCCTGGCTGCCGTGGGATCAGCAGTTTTCCCCCACCATGCCCTTCTGCCATGAAATTTCTGCTTCACCACAGGCCTAAAAGAAACGGAGGGACTGAAAGCACTGAAACTATGAGGGGAAAGAAACCTCTCCTCCTTTATATTGGCTTTCTCAGGTTCCTTGTCACCGGAAATGAAAAGCTGACTAACATAGCCTTTTTCTGTATTATGCCTTCACCTACTCCTGTTCGTTTTCTTTCCAGAGACGTTTAAAGCAAGTTCAGATGAGAGCCAGGGAAAGAATGGTCAGCAGTCCTTTGGCTCCCCCACTCCCTTCCGGTTACAATCCATTCTCTTTCCACTTCCTAGCCTGGTCTCAAAAGAGTTGCCCAGAATTCCTGTCTGCATCTCTTCTTACTCATAGCTAATCTGGATTTTATCCCAGTACTCACTTGACATTCTTGCCATGAAGTTTCCATGATTCCAAATGTAGTCAACACTTCGTTTTTGCTCTACTGAACTTCTGTATAACTTTCAATATAGTTTCATGCATTTACAGTCTGGACACACACAGAGAGAGCTTTAGTCTTTATCCTAAAATATCAGTTACAAAGCAAGAGAATTGTATTATCTGCTATCACTGTGACAAAATACCTGAAATAGTCAATTTGTAAGGAGGAAAGTTTTATTTTGACTCAGAGTTTGAGAGGTTTTAGTCCATGGTTAGATCTGTTGGTTTGGGGCCTGTATTGAGGGAGAACATTGTGCTGATCATGGTGGGAGCATTCGGCAGAGCAAACCTGCACATCTCATGGGGACCAGTAGAGAGAGAGAGAGAGAGAGGGAGAGAGAGGGAGGCAGAGAGGGAGGCACCACTAGACTATTTAACAATGTTTACTTGAATATCATTGTATTTATCTTATAACCAACTTCAACTGCAAAATCATTACTTAGTATTTATTATATGTTTATATAAATTATAATTATTTTTACTGTTTCAATTAAAACCATTTGATTAAAAAATTATATACACAGGTAGGTTATATTATTTCTGGATTTTATTTAAGATGCGTAAACAGTGATTTGCAATACAGTACCTGTTCGAGTTGTTTTGGTCCAATGGAATTGAGGATTTCTGCTCCATTGCTGTCAACTTCCTCTTGATTCAGAGATCAGGAAATGACCCAGCCCCAAAGAGCTTCTCTTCCTGCTTTTGAAAAACATTCACCTTTCCAGATGGCTGAATGGTGACTTCCTGTCTCTAACTGATAAGTCATTTTGGTTGTTCCCGAGTTCTTACTTGAGCTGAGTAGTGGGTATTTTCCATCGACTTTTAGTAAATTGGTTTTGCTTATTCTTTGTAAGCTTCAAGCTTCTAGCAATGTGAGAGGACAGAGGACAGGAAAGCTAATCCTCAAGCTCAAGATTTTTCTATTTGAACATTTAATTTTTTTCAGTTATTTCCCGGCCACAGGAATTTCTGTGGAAAGCTCTTATTATGGACCCACAATAGCAAAGCTCTCTTTTGGTTATTGTTCTCCAGAAATAGATTTTAGCCACCAGACTGCCATAGGTTTTATTTTCTTCCATCCAAGTAGGAGTCTGGTGCCTCTGTGGAAGGCGTGGCTGAAATGGCAGAGAAATGGTCTCCTGCCAGGCCCAGGGCCAAAGGGCTGCATCCCAGGGGCACTGTGGATGTGGCACTATGAGCCCCAGAGTATTCAGCCAGTGGCATTGGTGGGACAAGGGCGTGGGAAAGGGTAATGGGGCCAGGACATGTGTGTGCACTGGCTTGTGTGCCAGAGTATGGCTCAGAAGGAGCAAAGGAGCCAAGCAAGCTGTGGTTCCTCAGAGTGTCCAAGAGTCATCACTGTTCATGTCACCCAGGAGCTTGTCAGAGACCCACAAACTAGGGCCTCCTCCTAGACCCACGCATCAGAGCATTCAAACTACCCTGCCACGAGAGTCAGAGACACATTCTAGTGTGAGGCACACCGCTGTCCTGAACCGCTCGGAGCCTCAGCTTTCTGATCACTCCAGGAGCCTCTTGTGCTGCCTCACTGGCCTGCGTTACTCCTGTCACTCCCAATCCAGATTGCCTGCCCTGATTTTTTGCTCCCCCTGCTGACCTGCCATTGAGGTCTGTGTCTGCCCCTCCTCAGTGGCTGGACCTAGCCCAGATCATTCCCTGACATCGTGTGTGCTACTCAACTGAGAGCTCTACCAGAAGGCAAGGAACCCGCAGGCACATGATCCATGCCCCACAAATAAAAGCCTGAAATTTATGGCAGGTTAGGTATTTATTTTTGCTGCTTCTCGGACAAGCTTTACAAGGTAAGAATAAAATACAGATTTTTTTTTCAACAGCATAGATTTTTGCAAGTCAACTTAAGACTGTAACATTTAGGATTCCCAGAGTATGTGGGTTGAGGCACTTTTGTACCCAGAGGCACATAAACTTTGCCAGGCTGTAGGGAGTGACTGGTGGTCCTGAGGATGCTGCTGTCAGCTGCCTGGAGAGGTAGGGAGGAGCAGCGGGACACAGGGTTAGGGCCAAGCGTGCAGCCCGCCTGCCTTTCATGATTGGTTGGAAGATGACAGGTCCTTTGCTCCACCAGTTCTCTCCTGCAACCTATCTTGGAACCACTGCTGCCCTGATGAACACCTTCAGCAGGGGCTGGGTGGGGAAGGGAGAAAGTACTCTGGCCTTTGCTCTATGCTGGCATCTCTGGTATAAGGAACCATCATTGGGCAGGGCAGACTGGAGAAGAAAGCCAGCCAACACCCACTGGGGTTGGAATCACTGGGGGAGGGGATTGCTTCCATTAGCAGGGAATCCATAAGGAATCCTCGTTATGCTAAACAAATGCTAAAATGTATACCTCTGGTTTCCTTTCAGTGAGTCTCATGGCTGGTGCTCTCACCAGGACCAATTTACACCTCAAGATAAACTTCTGCCACCCAGCTGGGAGTTGCATCTGGAAACGTGCAGGAAGCATATGTCTCTTCTCATCAGTCATGGGCCTCATGGGAGCTTCTGCACTGGGCTTCCTCCTTTCTTGGAAGGACCCTAATGTTCTTAGGACACAGGAGTGCATGGAGTGCTCCTGGGACCAGCGTGGCATCTCCTCTTCCCCACTCTAGTTGACCTGTGCCACCCCAGCTCCCTGTTCTATCAGATGATGCCTTTTGGCCCAGGCCCTTTGGGACATGTGTATTCACAGATGAATTTTTGGTAGCAGATCACCCAGGTCCTGTGAGGGGCCTCGAGTCTTGGGCTGAGGATAGCTGTTTCTCCAGTTTCAACATGAATTAGTGACAAGTGGCATGGGACTGAGGACAGATATCCTGCAGCCCTAGCTGTGGTCTGGCCTCTTGTGCTTTGAGGCAGTAGTGTTCTCCATTTGTACCTTTGGCAGAAAAGTCCTCCCAGATTTGCTGAAATGTAATATGGTAGGTAGCCCCCCGATTATCCCTCCTTATTCAAGATCCCCACTGGTGGCATGAAACCTTGGATAGTCCTGAACCCTGAAGGTATATGCTGTAGTTCTCCTAACCTACAGACTATGATAAGGGTTAATTAATAAATTAGGCACAGGAAGAGACTAGTAACTAGTAAAATAGAACAATTGTGATAATATATGATAATAAAATATATGAACGTGGTGTCTCTCTTGAAAGAGTCAGGACAAATATTACTATTTTCAAGACTGCAGTTGATGTTGGGCAACCAAAACTCAGGAAGGCAAAATTGCACATAAAGACTGCTATCCCATGCGGCGGAGCTTGGAGCCGGTGTTGTTTTCTGGATATTCAGAGGCAGCAGAGGACACCTGCGTGGTCCCTGATATCTTTCCAGAGGGCAAACCTACTCAAGGCAGTCTTCAGCCCTGTCAGTTCCAAGCTGTGAGCCCATTGGGCTTGGCCATGGGGCCTCCCGGACTGATCAGTAAGGGTGTGCTCTCGGCCTTCTGGGAGACATCCAGATTAACAGGGAAAAGGTGAGAAGGCACAGTGGCTTCAGGAGTGGTCACCACTGACTTAACGGAGGGAGAGCAATTACACTTGTTCTCAAAAGGGGGATCATTTGTGGCTCCAGCAAGGCCGTGACTTCACACCCTCCCAGGAGGATCCACTTGCAGGCTCTGTACTGATTCCTGACTTTTGGGGGAAAAGAAAATCTCCCCCGCTCAGTGAGGATCAGGTGAGCTTCAGTCTCAAATCCCCATCTGGAAAATACTCTACCTGGAAAAAAACCCGACTTCAGTGGCCTCCACGGACACTCTAGGCTCACCCACTACACTGCCCTCTGCTTAGCCTCCTGTTGCTGCCCAAGGGGGAATGGAAGAACCAGCCCCCACCCCTGCACAATGGCATCTCTTCATCGGTCCCAGAAGCCTGGGTGGGCTGCAGGCAGAGCTATTATCTTCCCCGCTGCTTAGAGTCACAGCTCTGTGGGTGCCTCGGGAAAGTAGCCAAAGGGAAGCAGAGGAGGTGGTTTAAGGATGGTACTCACCAGGTGCACAAGCCTGTTCTGTGCAAAAGTGTGTATATATCTCTGCAAAGGTTACAATAATGTCAGCTGCTACTTGACATCTGGCACTTGCTTTTAAATCTATAAGTTGAAATCTTAGGCACCCAACTTTTAGCTAAGTAAGTACAATCTGAAATTGCTCATATATATGTGTGTGTGTGTGTGTGTGTGTGTGTGTATGAAATATATGTACATACAAATTGCACACGTGTGTGTCATTCTGAATATTACGGCACACATTTTCATACTGGGAAGTCCCACCTTGAATCACCCATGTGTGCACAATTGCACAATTACTCTGCTGTGCACCATCCAGAAAAGAAATGTGATTGTGAGCCACTTGCACCTGGTTTATGGGGCTGGGCACATGGGCCTTACACGTGGCTTGTTTTTTCTGCTAAGATGGAGTCAGTTGGCAGTGTGAACTTGACTGCGCCATCTTTCTCCCAGCCTCTTCGGATCTTGGTGAGTCTGCGGCTGAAGCAGGGCAGCAGAAACAGGCCTTTGGCCAGGATGATGGCGCAGGGCACCAGCAGCGTGAGCGTGAAGGTAGGCGGCAGGTAGAACTTGTAGCGGCTCTCCTCGAAGGCGCGGGTCCAGCCATAGGTGAGCGTGTGCAGCGTGCTCAGCACCAGGGCCACAAAGCCCAGTGTGGACTGTGGAGGAAAAGGAGGCCAGAATGAGGCAGGGTGAGGTTACATGGGGGCTTCTGCTGCCTGGCCAAGGGGGAGAGCCACGATTCAGGGTTGAACCCCAGCCCTGTCATTCTCTGTATGCAAAATCTTATGATTGCTTACAGAACTGTCAGGGCCTCACAATCCGTAAGCAGGAAAATGGGAATCATGTATCATCTAGACAGAAGGTGTATAAGGATTTACTCTTGCATATTTAATAGCGATGCTTTTTCCCCAGCTCCTCTTGTGGCTGCTGGACGACTTTACATGGAATTTTGTTCAAAGGAGTTAAAAAATATTTTACTAACTTTTTGTGTATATGTTAATGTACATTAAAGTAACAGATCTGCTGGTATACCCCAAATCACAATTTCACAGGTACCAGAGGGCCTAAGTTGGGGGGGCGAAAAAGGAAATTGATTTTAAGTTGATTTAAAGAGAAACACAAAGTGAGTAACTCACAGATGGCACATGGACTTTGCACCAACAGGTGAGTGGCTCCAACTCTCCAGGTAACCTGGTACCACACAGAAATCCCAACATACCAAGTGGATGGTCTTTGCCAGAGCTGCCTCACCCTGAGTTATCTGCACCCCAGGCAGAAACCCCACCAGGCCTGCCCTCTGCTTGGGAGGGGATGAGTGACTGGGGGCGGAGGAGCACCAGCAACTCTGAATGGAAAGGTCTGGGCCTGCTTATGGGGGGGCTCCACATGCCTTGAAGCACAGATGGCTTCTGTGAGTCACTGCCAGAGAAAAGCAGCTCCTCCATCATTGCTCCAAACAGGACTTTGTACTTGGGTGCACTGTGAAACGCCCTGGAAGGGCTGCTTGGGCACCCCCAGCCTCTTTTGCCTGTGAGCAGCCTCATGAACCACGAAGGGGAGGTGCAGATTCTATCGCCACTGCTAGTTCTGACTGACATGACCCTAGGTGGGCCACTCGATCAGCCTCCGTGGGAAGCAAGTGATTCGAAAGGCCAGCTTCAGAGAGTGCAGGGCCTGAGGAGAGGGCACTGTGCATGCGGGCTGACTGAGGAGGGAAGAGAGATGCAGGCAGCTCCAACTGCATTTTGTGGGCCTGGAGTTACTGAAGATTCAGGGTGGGACAGACCAGTGTTTACGACATGAGGAATGAAAATAACAGTGACCACCAAGATACATCATGTAAAGGTACAAGATCCAATGATGAATGTAACTATTGCTGACCTGAAATGTACCCATGAATTTAATGGGGAAAAAAAGAACAACAGTGGCCCATCAAGCAATGGGCGCATTCACATTTTCTCCAAGGGGATGTTGCAAAGGTTTAATTTAAATGTTGAGGCAAGCTGATTATGTCAGCATGCCCTTATTAGATTGGTTTGGAGCTTTCCACAAAAGCTGCAATTGGGCTTCATAGATTTCTAGCGTAGCTTGTCAGCATCAACCTAAGAACCCAGCTAAGAGAGGGTGTCAGTCTGTGCTCCCCTCAGACACCTTTCTAAATAGGCTGGGTGGCTAGGAGTACAACTCAGTGGTAGAACACCTGACTAGAACATTCAAGGCTCTGGGTTCAAGTCCCAGCACTGCAAAATAAGTAAACATGAATGAAGGAACGAATGAAGCTGATTTACATGGTGTCTTGTTTAGGCTAGTTGCTGGAAAGGAGGGGATATTCCATGGTACCTGCTCCTGTACAAACACCAAGGCTGTGAACTCTGGAGAATGAAAGAATACCAATCAGAACTGCTTGTGACGCTTCTGTTAGACATACAGTAAGCATTCTCTAGTGGATATACACTTCACTTTCACAGACAGCTTCCCAGGTACATTTCTACCCCACATAAAATACCCAATAAAACAAGCTCCCCCTTCTTTGGTCTCTGTCCTTGGCCATCTCTGGTTCTTGGCCTCGTGTCCACTTCGATGACTTCATTTCATTCTTACTGACATTCAGCTTTAGGGTGGCCATTCTGGGAAGCTGTGGTTGGCTTTGTGCTATTCCCTACAATTAATTTATATGTCATTTTAATGCCATATCCACACATGGAAGTTTCCTTGACTGTAAGTCACATGAAACCAAATCCTCGCCATTCTCAGAAGTGTCTATCAACCACTGCAACTCCAAGCCAGCGGTAGTGGAACACATTTGTAATCCCAGCACTCTGGGAGGCTGAGGCAGGAGCCCAGCCTGGGCTAATAATTTAGTGAGACTCTGTCTCAAAATAAAAAGTGAAAAACAGAGGAGAGGGGACTGGAGATGTAGCTCAGTTCAAAGGACTTTGGTTCGATCCCAGTACTGCAAACAATAAAAAAAAATGAACGTATAACTTCTGAGCCACACCAATTTTTCTAAATTCTGATATCTCAGCATAGAAGACTGGGGGGAGTTTGTTTTAAAAAGGCCCCTAGTGCTGATCATAGGGAACAAGTCCTGAACAGACAATTGACATTCTCCAAACAGGATGGCTGGTGGTCTTTCCAAGCCTTTCTGCGGAGTTCTGGAGTTGGCTGAGGTGGCCGCAAAGTGCCTTTAATCCCTGAGAATTGCTCATTCTGAGACCGATTTCAAACATTAGCTACAAGGTAAAAATCACCTGGGGAGCTTGGGAAACATACAATTGCCCAAGTCCCATGCCCAAAAATTCAGATCAAATCACCTTAGGGTGGGGCTCAGGCATCTGCTGCTTTTCAGAGTTCAGCAGATGATGCTAATGAGCAGCCAGGACTAAACCACTAATTTTGGAAATGCTTATCACTCACACCTTCTAGCTTAATGTTGAAATATCCACACAGGTTTTTATGCCCAGGTTGTTTGGTTAAGGAGAACCTGAACTCGTCTGTTCTTCAGACAAACACCTGCTGAGGCCCTTTTGGTTCAAACATGCTGTGTCATGAGCTTTCCCAGATGGGTAGCAACAGGAATCCACCCGGATCTAGGATGGTAGCCCCACTGAGGCTTTAGCATCTTCCTTGGGGCACATGTCCTTAACTCCAATGTGACCCATGTGGGCCACCATACCAGTCCCTCATCTAGAGAGCAATGGATGGGCATGTGGGACCCTACACTGGGAAGGCTTGGAGGTGCACTACTCCAGGGCCTGCCAGCAGCAGTCAGCTCCTCCCACTCATACATTTGCTTCCCTTGCCTACCCCAAGGTATGGAAGGCAGAAGCCCCAGTTTCCACCTAATGGTCCATAGCAAGGTCACACAGCCAAAGACCAGTCAATAACAGAAGCCCTTTGACTTCCCAATTCTCTGGATGATTCCAGAGTTTGTTTCCCTAAAAGTGTCTCTCTCCTTGGAAATAGTTTAAAAATCCCAGTATTGCCGAAGGGAATGAAAAGAAGAGGAAGGATTGTCCCAGGGCAATTAATAAGCTGCTCAAGCTAGGGCCATTTTTATTATACAGACGCTTGTTAGCAAAAAAAAGAAACAGCAGGGTCAGTGTGGCTCCTGCTGGTGCTCAATTATAATGGTGTGAAGGGGCTTTGACAATTTCTCACCAAGCTGGGGTCAAGCTGCTCTGTCATTATTTCAGGCAAGAGGTGGGAGTGAACAAGGTCACAGAATGTTTCTCTATCTTTGGGACAGAACTTAGGTGCTAAGAGCTGAATCCCAGCTTTCTGTGCAAAACGGCTGCTGGCCTGGGTATTTTGCAATCCAACTGGCTGAATTGGGAGCATTTAGCATAGCCAAAGCCCAAACCAAACAACAAAAACAAATGAACAAACAACCCCCACAAATTAAAATTTAAAACTTTGAAAGCAGCCCTGGAAACAAAAGGATAAATGCAAGCATGAGTCACCTTTCTGAGGAATCAAAACACTGCAAACAAAGTACTACAGACAGACCCAGGGTTCTTTCTAGGCTCCTTGACAACCAGGGTTTCTAAGCCAGGTGGCAATGTGGCCATGTGTGATGGGGGAGGAAAAATAAGGGCTGGGTTTCTCCACACTGGCCATGCTAACTTTACAGAAGGTCGTATCTTTCCTCAGAAATCATCCACAGCTGGGGTTGCAGCTCCATGGTAGGGCATTTGCCTAGAATGTAGGAGGCCTTAGGTTCAGTCTCCAGCACCAAAAGGAAAAAAACAAATAGAGCCATTCTTAGGTTCATTCATGGGTCCTACATTTTACCTCCTTCCAATGACCATGAGTGAACACAGGCACAGGGGGAGCAGTAGCCCTGAGAGGCCAAGGAGCAAATCAAAGAATGCAGGGTCCATAAAGGAGATCTAGGGACTGGCCTAGCTCTGCAGCACCCCTTCCAGTGTGCAGCCAGAGGGAACCACGCAAGACACTGTCTGTCCCTGACAGTCGCCCAGAGTTCTAGAGTCATTTTGGAGCACCCAAGTCCATAGAGTGGAGGCAGGCAGGCCTGGGCACTGCATTCCCCCAGGAGTGCTCTGTGGCTTCAGACCTTGCTGACCGAGTCTCATGATAAGAAGTGTACTTTAGTGCCCAGGAGACAGCCAGGTCTAGTACACATGCATATTTAACTTTTAAATATGTGTACTCAACGTATCTATCTGTATATCATGCAAAGCACTCTGATGTTTTCTTTGCTGTTTTATTCATTTGATTTCATTTTTTAAATGTTCAATGTACCTGGGCATGGTGCAAAAGCCTATAATTCCAGCTACTTAGGAGGCTGAGGCAGTAGGGCCGCTAGATTTGAGGAAACCAAGGCTAAATGGGGCAAAATAGTGAGACCTTATCTTAAAAAGCAAAACAAAACAAGAAATGGGTGGGTGGTAGCTTAGTCAGGGATAATGGAGTGGCCAGATACCCTAAGAGTAACAGCGAAATGCTGTTTTTCTTTCACACATAGTCCCAGGCCCCGGCAGTGGCTCTTCCATACTGGTTCTCTTGAAAGACAAAGCAGCTAGCTTTTGAGGATGGAGCGCAGGCATTTGATTTCCACAAATTTAATCCTGCCCCCCCACCCCCCCACTCTCCTCCCTGCAGTGTCAAAAGGGCTTTCATGTTTTCATTGTGGCTCTTCAATATGCAAAGCAGAGCCCAGCTGCTGGGGACGCAGGCAGTTTTGCTAACAAAATCAAATCCACAGGCTTTCTGCAGCAGCCAGAGCCGGGCAGGTAATCTGTGCTGCTTAAGGGAGCAGCTTCCTGGTGAGGGAGCAGCCTGCAGTCTGCTTTAATTGTGGACAAACTGTGTACCCAGGATACTCCCTGAGGGAACAGGAAAATCCTAGATTTGGGTGTGAGACACAGGGGGATTAGTGGCAGATCAGCAAAACGCCTTTCCCCCACCTTATGCCAGCATGTGCCATCCTGAGCCCTCCTCCGGGGACTTTCTGAGACCAGCAGAACCCTTGAGCTTCAGAGGCACACTTTAAAAAACAACCGAGACTGTTTTGTTCTGAGGCATGCTAAGGGGCCCGCGTCATGAGTAATTAATCTGGATCCCATAAAAGCAGTACACTTCCACTTTCCCTCTGAGTCCTCAGGGCACACAGAAGACCCTCGGCAGATTTCTGTGACAGTGGGGTGGGTAGGATGGTGTTCTCTGCCCTGATACACCCTGAGGCGGGACTCAGTGTTAATCAGCTCCCCTTCACGGGAGGGGATGAGTTAATCCACCAACACCGAACAGGGGACAGTGGGAGGTGCCAAAGAAGTGCCAGAAATATCCCTGTCTCTGTTATTTCCATTATAATTGAAACAAGACTCTGTCTCTCTTTTCCCCTCTCATATTCCGGGCCTAGTGCGGCACCTGGCATGCAGCAAGTACTCAGTAAATGTTTACGGCATGAACAAGTGCGCAGAGGCCTCTGGGCCACTGGCAGCACTTCTTGGAGTGTGCCACAGTAGTGCTGATAGCTGTTATCTGAGAACCCAGGACGGGGAGGCACTAATGCTTCATATCTGTCTGGCTAACAGAGGCTGGCATGCTGTAGATGTTCGTGGAATCTTGAAGGGGGAAGCAGATCTTTTCTCAAACATGTTTGATGACATACCTCCTTTTTTGTTCTTTCATGCTGCTGGGGATACAATGGGCCTTGTTGTGCTAGGCACCTGCTCGCCCCCTGAGCGATCCCCGCATCCCCCAGCCCTCCCATCCGTGGATATTTCTCCAGAATGATGTCCTTCGGAAATGCTGCCTCATCCCTTATAAACAGTGACCCTCATGCTCACCTCACATCCACCCTGCAAGCATCAAGTGCTACAGGGAACAAGTGCACCAGGTTGAGAAGAAGGTGCAGGTGGTGGGCTAAGCTCACTCGTAGTCCACTGACTACCATCTAGACCACCACACTGTCGGATGTCCACATGACAGAATTTTGTTTGGAAAGCTCAAGGATGGTAGAACCTGAGCCTGCCTGACGAGGGTCCAGAGCTCTCCTCTAGTCTTTCCATGTGCCTCTGTCTGGCTTCCCTGATGTCAGGAAATGAGCTTGTGTGGGTAGCTCTTCACCAGGAAGTTGAGAGGGACCTGCAGATGGGAAGCCCAGCATTCAAGCAGTGGCCCTGCTGTGCCCATGATCAAAGCCAAGGCAATTTGCGGAGGGAAAGGCACTTGCATAAGACAGGTGGGCTGGGCCCTCACTGCGTTCACTTGTGCTGGGGACATGCTTTACCTGCACGAAGCTGAACTCTTTCCAGTTGAGTGAATTTGCAATGGATGGCAACGAGGTGACAGCCAGCAGGGACAGCGTTCCGAGGGCCAGCACTCCCATTGAGAGGTATATCTCCATGCGCCAGACTTCCTCCTCCACCCAGAGGTGGCTCTTGTTGGTCAACATCTGATATGGACAGAAGGAAAGGTATGAGCATTGTGGCCTCAGCTGAAGCCCCTGGGATGTGATGGGCTGGTGCTGAAGGGGGCAGACACTTAGGGATGCTTATCACACCACACCTACCACCCAACAAATGCCTGGCTGTGTGCAGAAGTGCCCATCAGGTCTTAATGATCCATTTCATCTCACAGTCATCCCCACAGGGGTCACTATTAACCCATTCTAATAGGGATGAGGCAGACAAGGCACAGAGACCAAGTTCATGGGCTCCCCTAGGCGCTCACATATCTGCCCCAGGGAGAGAGATTTGCCAACCAGAAGGGTCACATTGGCTGAAAGTTAGGGGTCAAAGAGGTTGACAAGAAGTACAGACCCTCCAAGGGTCTGGTTCCCACATCACAGGACAACAGAGAGATCCTCTCTCAGCTTGGAACTCATCAGTCAGATGGGCCATTCTGCTGGCTATCTCCACTCTAGGCAGGAAGGGCACTGTCACCCTGGTCCCTCAGTCTGCCCCATCATTGGCTCATACCCAAAACACACAAGGAATTCATTAGACCCAGCTATTCCCCTTCTAGGTATCTTCCAGAAAGACTTAAAGACATCATACCACAGTGATACATGCATATCTGTTTACAGCAGCAAAATAGCCAAGTCTTGGAAGCAGCCTATATGTTCATCAGCAGATTGAATGGATAAGGAAAAGGAAGTATTTACATACAGTGGAGTACTACTCTGTTACAAAGAAGGATACACTTGAGTCGTTTGCAAGAAAATGGATGCATCTTGAGAACATAAGGTTAAGTGAAATAAATCAGATGCACAAGTTTAAATACTGCATGGTTTCTCTTATATGAGAAATCCAAAATATAAATAAAGAGCAAAAGAAAAGACAGATAATAGGAAGTAGTGAGGTAGATTTTGTTTAAATGATAAGGGGGTCAAGAGATGGAGGGAGAGGAAGAAGAGGGAAAGGGAATGAAAAAAGAGAAATGTGTTATGTACGTGCACCAACTGTCCACAAGGAATGTAATCATAATGTGATGCAAATATATTCTAATAGAAAATACAAACTGAAAAACTTAAAGCAAAAAACCCACAAGAGACACACATAGCACTCACCCCAGCACTTGCAACTCAAGGCCTCCAGACTTCTACCTTCCCACTCATCTGTCTGTTTCTTTTTCTTTTTTTTCCTGGTATGGGGAACTCAGGACCTTGTGCTTCCCTGGTAGGCGTGGCGCCATTGAGCTAAATCCCGTCTGTTTCTGCTGGAGGCACATGGTTTTGGCTGGACTGTTCAGCAGGAAAAAAAGTTAATCCTGCTTAACAGATAAAATATTAAAAATGAATCTAGGACCTCAACAAAGATGGTTGACAAGCTTATGAGAGGACGTGTAAAGAAATTGAGAAAACTACCTGTAATTAATGAGCAATGACTGCCGCTGTTATTATAGGGCAGGCGAGCTTATGGCGGCAACTTTAAGCCACAGAAAGACCAGGTATCTGGGACCCTGCTTCTTGTCCTGACCACCAGCTGTCTGTGACTCTGGGCATCTGTCCCTGGCCTCAGTTTCCCCACCTAGGAGATTTGGCTGATGTCATATCTGAAACTTTACCATCTTTTTTTTTTTTGGTATCAGGGATTGAACTCGGGTCCTTGTGCTTGCAAGGCAGGCCACCGAACCGCTGAGCTAAATCCCCGGCCCCTCTAAACTTTACTATCTTGCGCGTGTGTTTTCTGGGGTGGAAACAGCTAGGGTAGCTTTAGCTAGAAAGGCGTGGCCAAGGTGACCTGCAAAGGACACAAGTCTCCTCCACAGCTGTGACCAAAAGAAACTGACTCACTCCCGGCTGCGCTAACAACCACGGCTAAAGAAGTCGCCTCCACCTGGCAAGTTGTTTGTTCTTTGCCTCTACTCCATTAGTCACTCCTAGATGCGTTTGGGTTAAGGTCAGGCAGTTAAAGTCACAAGTCAGGGTTTGCACAACTGCACATGGGCTTGCAGAATGGCGTGGGTTTTTCCAGGTCGTTCTACTCTGCAGTGATGCTGGGGGAGGAAGGCAGGGGAGCACTGGATGGTGAGGGAGCTGCCGAGGGATCTGGATCCCATCGAGTCCCATGCTGCCCGGCAGTTCACAGATCTCCGCGCCCCTAGGGATCCCCCCATGCCTACAGCAAATCAAAGGATGGGTGGCCACATGTACTGCACCTCTGAAGACCACAGTGGGGTATTTTTCCTGCTTAGGAGAGAGGTCATCAGCCGTTGATGGAAAGTTGGCCTCCAGGGGTGGGGTTTCCTTTTCCCTCACGTTGCCGGTTAACACTGCAGGACTTGGGGTGCGGAGAAGGCTGCAGCACTGGCCCGGCCCCTCTCCCGGTCACCATGGCAGGCACTGTGAGAAGACAGCTATGCCCAGCCTCCCAACCTGGAGGAGGAGGGGCAGGGAGTGCAAGAGGACCTGGGAATGCAGCCACTGTGTCATCCCACAGCATCACAACCCCGGGGCAGTCATGAGACCCAGGCATCTCATCACTGGGCAGTTGTTACCTTGTACCACGGTCGCTCTAGCTGTGTTACCGCAAGGACTCTAAAATGATGATGTTTGCCTGTATTCCCACATAGCCAGGAGGATGAGGCAGGAGGACTACAAGTTCAAGACCAGCATGAGCAAATTAGTGAGACTATGTCTCAAATAAATGAATAAAAAAGAAAAAGAAAAACCAAAAATCAAAACCGAAACCAAAAAGATGCTGCTTGTGAAATGAGTAGTGAAGTGGGTGGTGCTGTTGTTCTGAGTGGCAGCTGGGTAGTTAATGGAGTTCTTGCCCCCAGCTCCATGCATACTCTTCTTACGAGCTGCCTGGCACTGCTTGGTGATAGCCAAGTTCATAGTCATTCTGTAAACATGCACCAGGAAGGACTCTCTACTAGGGATCCTGGATTTTAAGATGTGGAAGAGTCAGACTGAGCAGAAGTAAGAAAAATAATAGAAATGTGAACAAAATACAGCAGCTTACAGAGGTGGGTATGGGGACATGGGGAGACAGGCTGGCAGGATCTTACAGAAATTGGGTTTGAGGGAGGAATGGGAGTCTGCCAGATGCCAGGCTTTCCTGGGGTGGGTGTTCCAGGCCAAGACGAGTGAGCTCTACCCATTTGGTGGACAACCCAGGAAGCAAGTGTGATGTGTGTCACAGGAGAGGTGCGGAGACGAGTTTGGGGAGGGAGTGCGGTCTACCACTATCCCAAGGTCAGCAGGGAGTTGTTGCTTTTCAGCGGAGACATGGTTAGTTGAGTTTTAGACAGATCTCTGACAGTTAGGTACAAATTAGATTGGGATGAGGGGATGAGGGGATGAGGAAAACAGTGCAGGGGTTAAACACTGTCTTTGATCCTGAGCTTGAAATACATCTCTAGGGAACTGCACAAATAAACCAGCAAGTACCATAAAAATGTCAGTTACTGGTAATAACACAGCCCACAAATGTCTCAAGTCTTCTCTACAGCTGGGACACAGGTCTGCGTTCAAGTTTACAGACTCGGGAGCTCCAAGGAAATCCTGGAGGAGGTTGCTGCGCCTGGGGTAATGTAAACCCTTCATGCAAAGGGCCCAGTGGGCAGCTGGGGTGAGAGCAGGTGGGAAAAGCAGCACTCCAGGTAGGGACCACTGCAGGCCCTGGTGAGAGGGGAAAGCTGACCCTGCCCATGCAGAATCTGCTCACTGCCCCCAGATTCCCTCAGCTCACCCCTTCTCGGCTGCTGCGTGTTCAATGGGCCCCCTCTGGCCATCGCCCCAGACATGCCCCATCAGCCCAGCTCTGCCCTTGAGAGCTCTGCAGAGCAAGTTAAGCCCCTTTTCGAGACAAGCCTTTCTCTGCGCCCCTGAGAGTGATCCGTCCTATGGGAGATATGGTTGCCTGGCAACCTGGACTGGCACCTGCAGCCCTAAAGGGCTTTCGAGCCTGGGGAGTCATCCCTGCCCATGCTTGGGTATTGACATGGAGGCAAAATTGGGTTAACAGAATATCAAGCAGAGCCTAGGTTGGCACAAAGTTTAGAGAAAGACAGTTGGGGAACTGCCCTGGGGTTGGGCAGGAAGCAGTGGTTGGTCTTCTGTCCTGTGGGTGGATGCCGTCGCCTTCTTCCCGACCACTGCCTGACACAGCCATCCACTTGCAGGAGAGGGCTCCCCACTCCTGGGCCACAAGTGCTGTCCCAGTACCTCAAGAGCCCCACAGAGCCCCCTGCCAAGCGGGCTGGCTTTTTTTTTAGAACCAAATAAGAAGACATCACAAAGATCATCAAACACATAAGCACTAAGAGAGACCTTGATGTACACATCAGGGGCCCGAGGACAAAGACAGCCTGGGACTTGCTCTTGGCCAAGGTCTCTGTTCTAATCAGTGAATCAGTAATGCTGCAGGACAGGAGTTTCCAGGTCTGGCCTACCAGCCTCCAATCCACCCGCTCCAGCTCAGGTGAAGGATAAGATTAGTTTTCTTCTTCTTGTCTGTGGCCACAGGCCTGGCAGGGTAAGTGCTCAATGAATGAATAAATGAATTAATGACCTGAGTTCTAAGGCTCAATTTACTCAATTGGCAATTTGGCTTTGTTTCCTTTAGAAAACAGGACGTGTGAAAGCATGGATCTGAAATAGAACAGCTAGTTCTGAACACCATGACTGCTCCTTACTGGCTCTGCGACTTTGGTCAAGTAACTTAACTTCTCTGTGCCTTAGTTTTCTCATTGTGAAATAGGGTAGTACAGCACTTGCTTTACACAATGAGATGGGCATTAAATGAATTCAGAGTGGGTATGGAAAGCTCTCAGAATGGTGCAAGGCACTATCAAGCTCTTTTTAAAGGATTCGTGACTATTATTTTTTCCCTTCCTCTTATTCTCAGCAGGCATCTTGCTTCTGCACCTGACATCTGGGGTTCTTGCTTTCTCTTAGGAAAGTCAGAGCCCACAGAGGCGGTGATGCCAGGTGTCTGTGGGTGGGGAGATGGGGCCTCTAAGAAGCTGCCAGTGGGGAAGCAGGGCCCAGAGTTGGCAGGGGCAGAGGACTGAGGTCCCCATCCTGTGAGGAGGTGGCCATGCCATGGGTGTGCACATGGAGGTCCCTGCACCCTCAGCAGGGGCCCCAGGCTGGGCTGAGGGAGGATGGGGCATGTCTCCTGGGCACCTGTGCTATGAGAATAGCGACTCAGAATGGGCAGGGCCCACGCACTGAGGGGTCCAGGGCTACAGCTTGGAGGGGACTTCAGTAGGCTGGCAATAAGGACAGTAACCCCACTGCTTGCTTTCCTTAGCTTAGGTCTGAGACCTGCACACCTTGGTGCCTGGAAACCAGGAGGGAGCATCACAGAATTCTGTGCATACAGCTGCCAGCTGATGCCATCTCTATTCCCACCTGGCATGGCCTCATGGCCCTCAGTTTCCCAGGAATCCTGCTGGTGAAGGGGTACCATATGGCTTTTCTAAATGAATAAATAGTGCCACCCACCACCCTCCAATAAAAAAAAAAAAATCACCCAAACCCCCACTCCTGCCCCATCCCCATCCCGGCTGACTGCAGCTTGTCTTCCATGGCTCGGACCAAAGCCCAGACTCTCCTGGACCACCCCAGCCGCCCCACGCCCATCCCATCACCAGTTCTGTGTACTCCACTGAACCAGGCCTTAGATAGCTTCTGCCCTGCTTCTGCTCCCTTCCTGCCCAGTTCTCCTGGCCTGAGTGTGGGTTCCTGCATAGCCTCCTTCCTGGTTCTGCAGTGTCTGCCTTTAACCCGGTTGTCTGTTCTGGGCCCAGCATCCACAGTGAGCCAGTTAAAAGCATCGGGCAGATCATCAGTCCTTGACTGAGACCCTTCACTGTCTCCCTGGTTCCTTCAGGGGCTATAGCTAAAGCTGTTACTTGGCCTTCAAGGCCCCCTCAGAGAAGTTTCCACCTCTCAGGCCTTGCCCTCCACCAGCTCCCTCAGGTCCAGTCCCACAGGCCTCCTGGATGCCAGGCCTGCTCCCACCTCAAGGCCCTGCTCTTGCTGTCGCCTCGGCCTGCAGTACCCCCAGCTCACTCTCACCCATGTCACATCAGTAAGTCCTCCCTGGCCATCTTTAACGCCACCCCCTTCTGCCCTCCTAGCTTTGCTTTGCTCCCTCGTGCTTACAATCTGCCAGATGTCTGTTCTCGCTTAATTTGGTCTTGTGTAAATCTGCACCCAAGAGGGTGGAGATTTTCCTCTGTTCCACTCCCTGATACTCAGAATCCTGGACAGCAGGATGGGGACCCTGCCAGGCTGGAGCGGAATCTGCTCCCAGCCCCTGCTGTGTGCGGAGGGACAGGAGGGAGGAGGGCAAGGGTGGCACCTGCTTGACGGCCAGGTTGATCAAGTCGTAGCGGTGGGAGCGGCGCAGCGGCAGGCAGAAGCTGTAGAGCGCATGCAGCGCGGCACAGAAGAAGCTGAGCAGCCCGATCTGCTTGCGGTGCTGCAGCCAGTGGTCCAGCCAGTCGGGGAAGCGGCGGTACTTGGTGCCTCGCCGCAGCTGCAGAGCGGCCGCCAAAACGCCAGGCAGGTACACCAGAGACAGCAGCACATAGGCCACACAGGGCAGCGTGGTGTTGACCACGGACACGGGCAGCTTGTAGAACTTGTTCTTGCCCTCCTGCACGTAGGGCTGCAGCACGTCCCGGGTGAAGTTGTAGGCAAAGAAACACACAAAGAGCCCCAGGGCCAGGAGTGCAGGCACTTTCCAGGCCGGCAGGAGACGCAGCGGCATGGCCTCTACCTCACGGGCAGATGCCAAGGAACCCATGTCCAAGGGCATGAAGCCCATGGCGTGAACCATCTCTGAGACGGTGCGCTTGGCCTCTGGCTGGTCACTACAGACGGGCACCTGTGGGGAGAAAGGAAACGATAATCAGGCAGAGTTCCAGGACCCAGGAATGGGCAGGGCCTCAACCACAGGGGCTCAACTCTGCATTGAGCAGCTGAGGAAACTGAGGCCCAGAAGCTTGTCCAAGTGAGCTGCCAGGGAATAGGGTATATGTGAGCACAGGGAGGCTCTGGCTTCCAGGTCAGCGGCCTTTCAGGGCCTTGGTGGCTCCCCGGCCTCACGTCCTGTGTGGCCAGCAAGGCCCACCACTCACAGTGTGTGCGCAGCTTGCTGATGTGCCCATTTAAGCTGCCTCCTGGCTCTGGAGGTGGCTGCTTCTGAGGACTGTAGCCTGCTCAGTTGCTCGGTTACAGGCTCTACACAAAGCCCAGAGCATGCAGTTCCAGCAGCACTTCCAGCCCTCAGTGCAAAGGGGTCCCTCCTGGTTCCACAGGGAGCCTGCTGCCAGCCAGTCCTGCCTGCTTTCTCAGCCCAGAAGCCAAGCGTTCCTCATGAGCTCCCACTAAAGGTACCAGGAAAGCCTCACACCTCAGGCACTCTTTTAGGGTCAGTCTGGTATCCAGTACAGACTGAGCGCCTAGTTTGAAGCAGGCTTTACATGCACGATCCTTTGGTCTACAGGTAGGTACAATTGTCCTTGTTTTTCAGATGAAGAAGCTGAGATCTGGAGCACAATTTTGTACCTGTGCCTTTGCAGATTGTCCCCTCATCCTGGAATGCCCTTGGTGCTCCCTGAGCATGACAACACAAGGTGGGACCAGGTCCAAGCCCACCTCCAAGGCCTCGCCAACTGGCCCTGCCCCAGCACTTGCCCATTGTTCCCAGCCAGCCCCTACAGGGGAGGTGTAGGGGCAGCTACATTCTAGGTCGTGCAGCCAGAGCTGGGCAGCACCTCTGGATGCCGCCCTGGAGCCCGGCACCTGCCTGGACTTTCTGGATGTGTGTGCGGGTCTGGCATTCTTCCCCAGGAAGGGGCAGGAGGCCTTTACATTAAAAACCATCTTGTCTTGAGAAAACTCCTCCTGTGAAGAAACGTGTGCAACTCTGGCTGTGCTGTGGGAGCAGCCCAGAAAAGTTGTTCTTACTGTTCTGACAAATCCACTCAGTTCCCAGGTCTTGAAATTAACTAAATAAATCCTGGACCTCCCTGCCTTCCTCAGGGGCTGCTATCAAAGTGTGCTATTTTCTTCTTTCTGAGTACAATTTTATAAGGGAAGTCTCTCTCTGACTTCATATAGTCAAAAACTTTTTTTCTCCTTGGCCCCTAGGAAAACCTATTGCCCTAACAGAAGGAACACGGGTTTAGGTCCATATGAACAGGGCTCAAATCCCAGTTCAGCAGCTGTAGGCTCTTGGGTATGATCATTAATATATCTAAGCCTCATTTCTTTCTTTGTAAAATGGGATTGTGCAGTGACATGACAATAACTGAGATAATGCACAGAGAAAAAAAGCTGGTGTGCTGATGGTCTTCAAGGAAAATGAGCCATTCGTATTTATTGTTATGATGGGAGTGATTTCCCAAGGACCCACCTGCCTGTTCCCATCCCTTGGACCAGCCTGCAGGGTCCAGGCAGAGATGACATTGAAAGCCTTGACCACTGCGCAGGTGGGAAAAAGGGAGGCCAGGTACTCCGCATTAGATTCTTGATGCCGAAGGTGCTCCTGCTCTGTGGGGTTGCTCACGTCCACCAGGATCTTGCCAGCTAGCTGGTCACTGAGGCCACACAGCGAGGAGTAGTGCTCCCGGAACACAGCCACAAAGATGACCCCTGGGGAGGTCACTGCCTCCTCCTGGAAGGTCACTTGGGCTGATGAGGGGAACAGCCCGGCTGTGCGTTTGGGGTTGCGGCTCCCCACCACCACACTGAAGCCAGAGCCCAGCAGGCGTGTGGCCAAGGAGCGGGCAAAGTCCCCACTGCCCAGGATGCCCACTCTGGGGGCCCCCATGTGGGGCTCAGCAAGGCTCCCATCGCTGTCCACCAGGTGGTCGCTGATCAGGGGTTTATCCATCTCACTGGGCATTCTGGTGGCTGCAAGAGAAGACAGGAACCTGGTCACTGGAGGGCTCCTAGGCCTCCCCTCCTGCCACCCTCTTCCTCATGCTCAACATCCACCCAGCAAGAAGTGCTACGATCCGCTACCCCAGGAGGCAAACTGAGAGAGACCGGCCTTGCCCCAAGAAAGGCTCAGTCGCAGGAGAGGAGGGCAAGGACTTCTGCCCTCCACCCTTTGTCCTTCCTGTGAATTTATTTCCTCAGAACACATGGGAAGGAGGGAGCATGCTGGAAAAGGATGATGTGGGATTTCTATGTCCAATGCTATGTGTCCTTGCACATCGGACAGACGGTGTCCCTGGCTTGGAGTGACTTCCACCTTCCACCTCGTCATCCCTGACAGTTGCCTGTGATGGGCAGCAGAGCAAACATGTTCAAGGCGCACTGTGGAGCAGTCAATCCCCCTCCTGCTCTTCCTCAAGAGCCCTCTGGGGAGAGGGGAGGGCCCTCTCTCTGCCGCTGGCCCCAGCATAGAGGTGGTTCTCATGCTTCCTGAATGAACAAGCGAATAAACGAACACACACCCAAACCTATTCCCTGAGGATGAACAGGACCCTGAGATCTGGGTGCCCTGGGTTCTCCTTCCAAGGGCCTGAGAGATGCACAGAACATGCTAGGTGTGGAAGAAGACTACGTTAACTCAGACAGGGAAAGCCAACTTGTGACAGAAATTGGCTATGTCCTTCGAGGACGAAGGTAAGCAACAAACCACAGTAGTCCTGGCAGGACAGGTGGGTTTGTCACCAATACTGACCCAGGTCCAATCCCAAATTCAGTTGTGACAGAGTACCCTGAATGCTGCTTATATCCATCGCTAATTTTAATTATGGTAGATATTAAATCTGCCACTAGAGCTTGTTATTTAATGTGCTAGTACAAAAGTATATACATTACTAAAGCACATCTTCTTTGGAGAATTAGTAACTGTGTCTCTTAGTCGAGCACCCGTGTAACCACGGAGCACCATATTTTGTGCCCATCACAACATTACTGTGAGCAGAAGTCCATGGGCTTCACCAGTCGGTGGGTCCAGTGGAGTCCTTTGCACAGAAAGATTAAGAAGCCAGGTCCAGCATGGCGCTGTGGCGCACACTTGTGAGTCCATCTACTCAGGAGTCTGACACAGGATGACAAGTTCAAAACCAGGCTGGGCAACTCAGGAAGACCCTGCTAAAAATGAAAACTAAAAAGCACTGAGGCTGTGTAGCTCAGGGTTAGACTACCCATGGGTTTGATGCCTCATACAGAAAAAAGAAAAAAGAAGTCAAACAGTCTTCCTGGAACCTCTGGGGCAACGGGGGTGGCTGTTAACCCCCTGAACACATGTTCACCTTTTTCTACTTTTCCATGGCAAACTCCTAGGACCCTATCAACTATCAACACTGGGAGAGGTGCAGGGGCCACAGGGTGGATGGAGCAAGAGGACCAGAAGGCTGAGGCTGAGTCCTTGGACAAGTCCCTGTGCCTGTCTGGGCCTCAGCTTCTACCTTTGTTACAGAGATCACATGTTCTGATCTTAGATGAAACACTGCATTCTTATGAGGTTTTTCCAAACTGAGATATGGATCTCTTACAAGACATTAGCAGCCATTAAACACTGCCACTGGGCCTTTCTCCCAGTGATGGTCATCAAGACCCCTCCCCAGTAACTCCACAAAGTAGGCACCGTTATTATTCCCAGTTTAAAGAGAAGGAAGTGGAGGCTGAGATTGAGGCCTCTGCTTAAGGCAACAGAGGGAGCAGAGGAGGGGAGAAGGGGACGAGACTCAAGCTGTCTGCCTCCAGAGCCCAAGATTCATTCAGTCTTGTTACCAGGGGACAGTGAGCTGTGCACAGATATTCTAGAGAGGCAGGGGCACCACCTGGGCTGAGGGGAGAGGTCAGGGTGGCCGGGGCTGCACTGAGTGTCCCTCCAGGGAGAGGACACGATTCCCAGCCTGCCTGTGCTCCCTTAACTTCTCATGCATCTTTAAAGTGGATCTGAAACATCATCGCATCTCTGTCATGGGATAGCAGGGATTTGTTAGCCTAGGCCGCTGCAGAATCGTTTTGGGGGGACCCTGCTTCCCGAGTCCAAGGATACAGACAGGCAGGGACCAGCCATGACTCCACTTTGCTCTGGACAGACTCGACCTCTCCGCAAAATGGGAGAGTATTTCCTGTCAGTTCTGTGAGCCCTTCCCAAGGGGGTGACTGTGGGTTAAAGCAGGCCTCCTGCTATACCTACCGCCTTGCCCACCCAGTGTTGCCTTGAAAACATGTGCTCTGGCAGGGAGGGCCGGGCTGGGTGTACTAGGCCAGACAGCCTGGGTTCTGATTCTGATTGTGGCAGGTGCCAAGTGACCTTGAGCCTGTCAGTGCCTGGTTTCCCCAGCCATAAAAGGGAGACGGTCCTAGTATTGCACCTTCCTATGGGCAGCAGTAAAAAGCAGAGCCAGGCACACAATAAGCATTTGGCCAGTGTTGGTCAGGAATTACTAAGCAAACCCTGGCTCTAGCAGAAGCCAAGCTGTGCACCAGCAGTGGGTATGTGGTACAGAAGAGGGGTGGGAGACCCTGTCTCTACCCCTCCGGGCCTGGGGAACCAGAAACGTTTGGGAAGGTAATCTGGGCGGGACAGGGGAAGGCCAGCATTAGGGACCCTGCCGGGGCCTCCAAAGTTCCTGTCGCTGGGAAGATCAAGGTTTCTCTTGTAGTCAACTGGGACAGACGTACACCAGCCTTTCCTGCTCACCGCCCAGCCACCTGGAGGAGGAGGAAGCCCTGCCCTGAGAGGAGGGAAAGGAAGCACACGAAGGCTTGCAGCGCTGTTGCCACACGCGTCAGCAATACGAATGATCCCCCGATGCTCCCCTCCTGGATGAAGCCTGTCCTCTGTCCTTGCTCTCTCCTTTGCATCGCCTGAGTAACTCTGCACTGAACTTGGAGGAGTGTGGTGATGGTAAGACTGGTCCCCACTCTCAGATGGGCGTCTCATGTGTACAGGGAATGTGGATAAGCTCTACCCACCAAAGACTGAACTCTGGAAGCTGGGGGTGGGGCACAGGAGCAGCACAGGCTTGGCTGACCTCTTGTGTGGGGAGACGCTGCCTGCCATCTGACAGTTCACGCAGAGGCCTGATGGTTTTGCCTCCTCGAATCCATACAGAGTCCACCTAAGGTGAGGAGAGCATCGGTCTCAGACTTTGCATCTTACCCATGGTGAACCCAAGATTTAGCATCATAGGTGAAGCTGACCCTCGAGGTCACTGCTCAGAATATGATTTGATGTCTGCTTCCATTAGGGGAGCTGAGACGGAGGTGGTCACAACAGAGGAAAGTCATAGGCAGGGGCTGGGGGCCTGAGGTGACCCCAACTCTGCCTCTAACTGGTGCTGAGACCCAGGGGTGTCAATGAGCCTTTCTAAGTGGGTTCTCTGACACAAGTCACTCCACCAGATTATCTCCAAGTCCCTCCCAGCTCCAGCAGTCTAGCAATCTATTAGAAGCCCGTCTTAGGTCCTAGGGGCCCTACTTTCAGATGGAGGATGAACAGGTACAGAACATAACATACCTCTAAACTGCTTCTTGCTACCAAATCTGATCCTTGGGACAAGAAAACAACAGGTTGTCATGCCTCCTATCCCAGGGGTGGCTTCTTCCTTGGCATTTCTGTTGCAGGGACAGAGCCACGTGGGTGGAGGAACCAGCAAGGCATGTGGTTAAAGACACCAGGTCCAGGCCAGGCTATAGCGCCCACCACTAACTAGCTGGACACTCTGGAGCAAGCTACTTAGCCTTTCTGTACCTTAATTCTCCCACTCTTTAAAGTGGTGACACTGATTGTTCCTAAGGCTTGTTGTGAGGATGAAATGAGCTAATACATGCAAAAACTCAGAGCTGTCTTCTGTGACTGGTGTGAGTGCACATGTGCTCTAACCTCTAAATTCTTCATGGGCAGTGACCACGGCAAATCCTTCTACCCGCCCAGTTCCAGCACAAGGCCTGCTGCCTGAAGTTAAGGGTGTGATTAATCCTGTCTGAGCCTCTGTCTAAACCCAGGCTCCACCCTGGAGTTTCTATTTCAAGACCCAGGAGGGAGCAAGGAGGGTAATCAAATCACAGCAGATGACCCAGGCCTATAGCTTGCAAACCACCTTTTCCAGTTGTGGTTAAAGGGCACTGAGGCTTGGGACCTGTACCCTTTGGTCCCTGCCTAGGCTTGCCTGTCCCTCCCCTTTTCTCAGCTATGATTGTGGTGGGAGCCCTGCCCGGGCCTCCAGGCCTGTCTGCCAGCAACTGCCCAAGCCGCTTGCTCCTGGTGACACACACATGGGCAGGCACACAGCCCATGGTTTTATTGCATGGGCAGCAATAGCCCTGCAGACATGGAATTGCACAGGGAGGCCACTGTTTTCCCTATGGGGGCAGAAATACCGACAAAATGCAGCACACACTTTAAGAAGCCATCATATCCTCCAGGGATCACCCCAAGTGCTTGCACTTTCTACTATTGTTTTTTTTCTCCCAGTGCTGGGGAAACCAGGGCCTTGTGTATGCTGTTATGATTTTTAAAAAAAGAAAAAAAATTTTTTTTTTGAGACAGGGTCTCACTATGTAGTTGAGACTGACCTGGAACTCACAATGCAGCACACACTTTAAGAAGCCATCATATCCTCCAGGGATCACCCCAAGTGCTTGCACTTTCTACTATTGTTTTTTTTCTCCCAGTGCTGGGGAAACCAGGGCCTTGTGTATGCTGTTATGATTTTTAAAAAAAGAAAAAAAATTTTTTTTTTGAGACAGGGTCTCACTATGTAGTTGAGACTGACCTGGAACTCACTACGTAGCCCAGGCTCTCG